CACTCAATTTCGGCGAACGCGCCAAAGCCACAAAATCGACAAAGGGGTTTGCCTCCGGCACCGCATCCCAATCCGACCACCACACAGGTCAGGTCCAAGAAGCACGTCTGCGTGGAGTCCCCGGTGCAGATCCCTGCCTTGCATACGGTTAGCGGTGGTGGTGGCGGCGACGACGACAGAGGCGGTGGAGGTGATAGTGCTGGTGGCGGTGGTGAAGAGAAGCTCGGCGGCGGCAGCGGCGAGACCGTCGCCACGGTCCCGCTTGTGGGTACAGTCTCAGGCGGCGACGGCGGCGGCGGCGGTGACGGTAAGCACTGAGATGCGTCGCATGGGGTGTAGTCCTCATCAATAAAGCCGTCACACATTCCGTCCGCGAAGCGGCAGCCGCGTCCCCCGCCGAGGGTGTCGTAGTACTTGAAGCAGTCGGATTCCGGCAGGCCCCTGGATTGCAGCCACGCGGTCAACATCCAGCAGTCATCGCCGGAGCCCGACGCTGGCTCCAGGCAGCGGCAGGATGGCGGAGACGAGGGCTGTGGAGGGGGAGGCGGCGGTAGTGGAGGGGGAAGAGGCGGCGGCGGCGACGGCGGCGGCGGCGGTGACGGTACGCACTGAGATGCGTCGCATGGAGTGTACTCCTCATCAATAAAGCCGTCACACATTCCGTCTGCGAAGCGGCAGCCGCGTCCGCCGCCGAGGGTGTCGTAGTACTTGAAGCAGTCGGATTCCGGCAGGCCCCTGGATTGCAGCCACGCGGTCAACATCCAGCAGTCATCGCCGGAGCCCGACGCTGGCTCCAGGCAGCGGCAGGAAGACGATGCCGGGGCGTGTGGCGGCATGGCCGGCGGTGACGGCGCGGTGAATGGAGAAGGAGGGGGGAATGGCGGCGGCGATGGCGGAGGCGGCAGTGGTGACGACGACGACGGGGGCAACGGTGGAGGGCTCGGTGCAGGCGGTGGCGAGAGCGACGGTGGTGGTGGCGAGGACGATGGCGGCGGCGGCGACAAGGGCGGCGGCGACAAGGACGGCGGCGACATCGAGGGCAGCAATGAGGGAGGTGGGGCAGGTGGGGAGAAGGGCGGTGGGGACGGCGGCGGCGGCGCCGGCGCCGGTGGTGGTGGCGACGGCGACGGCGGCGGCGACGGCGAAGACGACGGCGGCATTGAGGGCGGCGGAAAGGGAGGCGGGCTCGGTGGGGAGAAGGGTGGCGGCGAGGGTGGCGGCGGCGACGGTGGTGGTGGTGGCGCCGGTGAAGGCGGCGGCGCCGGCGACGGCGGCGGCGCCGGTGAAGACGACGGCGGCATTGAGGGCGGCGGAAAGGGAGGCGGGCTCGGTGGGGAGAAGGGTGGCGGTGAGGGTGGCGGCGGCGACGGTGGTGGTGGTGGCGCCGGTGAAGGCGGCGGCGCCGGCGACGGCGGCGGTGGCGGCGGCTGCGGCGGCGGCATTGAGGGCGGCGGAAAGGGAGGCGGGCTCGGTGGGGAGAAGGGTGGCGGCGAGGGTGGCGGCGGCGACGGTGGTGGTGGTGGCGCCGGTGAAGGCGGCGGCGCCGGCGACGGCGGCGGCGGCGGCGGCTGCGGCGGCGGCATTGAGGGCGGCGGAAAGGGAGGCGGGCTCGGTGGGGAGAAGGGTGGCGGCGAGGGTGGCGGCGGCGACGGTGGTGGTGGTGGCGCCGGTGAAGGCGGCGGCGCCGGCGACGGCGGCGGCGGCGGCGGCTGCGGCGGCGGCATTGAGGGCGGCGGAAAGGGAGGCGGGCTCGGTGGGGAGAAGGGTGGCGGCGAGGGTGGCGGCGGCGACGGTGGTGGTGGTGGCGCCGGTGAAGGCGGCGGCGCCGGCGACGGCGGCGGCGGCGGCGGCTGCGGCGGCGGCATTGAGGGCGGCGGAAAGGGAGGCGGGCTCGGTG